TGGGACTCCAGGTCAGGCAGTCCCGTATTATCTGGGATACGTGCTTATGACATGTGCTGTATGAAGGGAAGTCTGTGCCCCGGGTCGTGGGGATCCAGGAGAAGCCTCAATTCCGAGAGACATGTTTGGGCTGAGGCTTGGAGAATGACGTGGAGAATAAAGCAAGTCCGTTTTCTGTAAGCCCTGAACACAAAGCGGAGTCTGGTTTTGTAAAAACAGTCCCAAGGTGAGTCCTTTGGTAAATGAAAAGCTCCTTTTGTTAAGGAAATGATTACCTTCTATTCTGCTCCCCATCCCCTATCCCAGGGATCAGATCGTTTTTTATCTTTGTGTCCTCGCCACCCCTGGTCCCCAGCAGGGTCCTTCTACCCATCTTGCTAAGTACTTGTTGAGTTGAATTAGAAATACCATAAACCACTTATTAGAAATAATTAAGGACTCATCATTACTGTTTGGTGTAACAGGTGTGGTGGTCATGTTTTAAAAGCCCTCATCATTAGAAAGGTATACAGAAAAAAGGTGTTTAAAATATTTAAACATGAAATGACTTGATGTCTGGGATTTGCTTTAAAATATCCCTGTACTCTTCCCTCACGATGGTGGAGAGTAAGTTCTCATGCCTAACAAAGTCCCCGGCTCTGCATAGTGACGTCCTCCCAAAGAGGACAGAATGGATAGGGGGACAGAGTGACTTCAAGCGAAGAAGCCTACAGACCCACCTTGCCTAGGTGATGAAGGTCAACACCGCCAGCGTTCAGTGCTGTGGATGGCAGGTGCCCGGGTAGGAGGGGCTGGGAAGGGCCCTTCCCTTCCGCGGTCATCCCAAACCCATAACCCAGTCTAACTGTGAGAAAACCATCAGGCAAATCCCAGTTGAGCGTCATCTGACAAATATCTGCCCAGGACGTCTCCAAACTGCCAAGGTCATCAAAAACAGGGAGAGTCTGAGACATTGTCACAGCCCAGGGGAGCTGAGGAGACATGACACCCGAATGTAACATAGGATCCTAGATCGGGTCCTGGGACAACAAGAGGATATTTGGTACAAACCAAAGGCACCAGAATAAAGAATGTGTTTTACTTAACAACGACGCATCGATATGGGTTCATTCATTGTAACAAGTGGACCGGACTCATGCAAGACATCAACAATGGAGAAACCAGGGGCTGGGTGTACGCAAACTCTGCCCGATCCTGACAACTTTTCTGTGACTCTAAAATGGTTCTAAACATGAAGTTTATTGGAAAAAAAAAATTCCCGTAAAATAAAAAGAAGCCAGGGGAGGGGAGAGATGGAAGAGGACTGGCAAAACGTCTGTAATTGTTGAAGCTGGGGGATGGGTGCGAGAGGTTTCTAGACTCCTTGCTGTCCTTGACTGCATCTTTGGAAGTTTTGAGAAAGTAAAGTCCCAGAGCACGGGACAGGGGGTCACACTGTGAGTTCGACAGCGATGGGAGTGAAGGGTCATCCCAGGGGTGACACAGGTGTCTTCTTGAGAGAAGATGGCCCTGAGCTGACCTGGCCGCGGGGCTGGGGATAAAGTGTGTGCGTGTGGGTGTATGTGTATGTGGGGGGAAGTTACAGAGGCGTTCCTGGCACATTAAATGTGTCTACAAAATGTAATGATTATTCGGGGTCACGGCGACTGTCCCCACACTCCCTAAAGGCTGTATTTCACAAGCTTTGCCGTGCTCTACTTCTCCCTTAAAGACTTTGCGAGTCACTCAAGAGTCACTTTCCATCTCATTCCACTTCCAGGAGGATGGTCGGCGGCCCCTAGGAGCCCATCTCTCGGGCACGAGTAATGCTGGCCAGTGTGATGGGAGGTGTGGGATGGCTGCCAGCTCCCAGACCCAGACGTCATCAGGGCAAGCAGAGTGCGGCCGAAGAAGGGGGCACAATATGCGAGCTGGCCCAGGGGGACAGTCTAGCGGTCCAGGAAGCGGCCCGGGGACAAGTGGACATGCCCTCTAGCAGCTGGTGTCCCAGACAGAAGGAGCGAGCGGTCTGCGGGGGCAGCCAGCTCTCATGAGGCCACTTGGGGTGACTTGTAAACTCCTGCTGCGTCCCCAGCTGGTCCACATGAGACTAATAATAGAATAAAGAATAATACAATAATAGAATAAAGAACGCCCCTTCAACTCCACCTGTGATGATAGCACTATTTACGGGGACCCGATGTGTGGCGGTTCCTGTGCTGTTGACGTAATCCAACCGTTTTGTCCCCGCAGCCGCTGGCATGAAGTACGGAGATGACTTTCACTCTGCAGCAGCAGCACTGAGGGTCTGAGATATGAAGCCACTCGCCCAAGGGCACACGGTCCAAGAGTGGCTAGATCTGAACTTGAGCCTGCGAAACCCAAAAGCTTTTTTTTTTTTTTTTAAAGTTTAATTTGAAATTTAATATCATTGAGTGACCATTTCTTCAAAATGCAAACCGATCTTACAAAATGATAATGGTAGAACCTAGGAGGTGGGGGACCCCAACCTTCACTGTCAAATGCTTCCACCTCTCTCACTGCGTGTTTGGAAATTTTCATAATAAAACACTGGGGAATGAAAAAATGTAGCATGACTTCCAGGTGTTTTCTTCACCTGAACTCACTTGAGGACCTTGACGGGACTTAGGCAAGGGGGCTTACCTCCTGTCGCCCTTCATGCTGGTCCCTCCAGGACGCCAGGACACCCAGGCCCTCCTGCCACCATGCTGCAGTGGTCCTCGGAGCACCTCACAACAGAGATGGCTTTCCAGTAGAATAGAACAGCCCAGACCTTCTGGAACCTTCCTTCCAACTTTCTTCGACTACCAAATCAGCAAAAACGATCTGGTCTAGTGTGTGTGTGCCTTTGGCCTCTCATCCTGCTTATGAACTCGCTTTCCCTATGGTGATTCCCCTCTATTATTTTGTCCTAAGGCCACAATTAAAAAGCGATCACTGTTGTCTGGGGCCCAGAGGCCTGGCTGGTTCATATTCGCTGGTCGGGAAGGCAGCTGAAGCCGGCCCTGGCAGGAACTCCTTGGCAAGAATAATGGGACACGTATTGGTCCATCGGGTGCCCGACCCAGAGCACGATATCAAATATGAAAAGTTGGGCTCTTGTGTAATCAACACAATTGTCTCCCTGGGCTCTCATGGGTGGTTAAGAAAAGGAAACGCAGAGTGCACTGGTGTGGCCTGGTTGACAGTGGCCATCGCTGCCATCGTCACCATCATCACTTGAATGATGAGTGAAGTAAGGTCGGACACAGGCACGCGGCTCCTGACAGGTGCAGAGTGCTTCTGGACTCCGGGTCTCCAGTGCCGCGGGCTGCCATCGGGGGCTGGGCGGCCGGGCAGGGATCACTGCCTCCACTTTGCAAGTGCAGAAACTGAGGCTGGGCGGATGGCGGTGACCCGGGCTGCTGGCCCCTGCCAAGGTGAGGTCTGACTCGGCCTCTCTGGCTCTGAGTCAGGCGGGGCAAGGGCCCGGCTTGCTCTTCTCCCCTCTGCTTTCCACCAGGTAGCTCCCTGCCCTCAGCACTTTCCCTCAGCCCGCTCCCACGCCCCCCACCCCCGGCCTAGGCTCAGGAAGGTTGATTGGCCAACATGGATCATACGCTCCTCTGAGAGCCAGTCAGAGACAGGAGGCAGCTCTGCCCACCAACGGCAGCTCCCACCCTAACCCCTATAAAAAGAGTGGGAAGGCCTTTTCCAGGGGCCCTCGCTTCTGTCGTCCCACTCTGCCCCACCCAGGAATCCGGGAGTGGGAGAAACCTTCCCAGATCTCTGAGGGCCTGGGCCCCAGCTGCCTGGCCCTTGCAGACTTGTCCCCCAAATTGCAGGCAGGAAACCAGAACCCCAAGTGGTTTCTCACTTCTTGCCCATCACCCCAGGCTTCCATTCCTGTGATCGGACCCCAGGTCCCCCCTTCCCCACCAAGACCCCAATTCACCGGCATCCAGAGCTGCTGAGACGACTTCCTGGACTGTCCAGGCCCATCCCGTTCCCCCTCTTCCCAGCAATTCAGGATGCCCAGACCCTGCAGGTCTTGTGCCTGGCTGGCCCCGGCCTGGCTTTGACAGAATAATGCCCCAAATGAGGGGCCTCAGAAAGGCAGGAGGCCCCAAAGGCAGCTAGAGACCCCACCCTGCAGAGTGGAAGTAGCGCTCATTTGAATGACCAGAACGCCAGCCACAGTGAAATCCTAGCAAGGGTGACATCCCCTGTGGGGCTAAGATCTCAGCCAGTGCCAGGGTCCGGGCTGCTGAGATGAGCTGGGGCATGGGAGGAGAGAGGCTCTGAGCCCCAAGCGGGGTCCCTGCCTAAGAAGCTGGGAAAACCCAGGGCGGGGGGCACCTAGAGGAGGGGCATGTGTGGGAGCGAGGGGCCCGGATGCTGAATCCCCGTGGGTCCCAGGGTGCTACTGAGCATGGGCTAGGCTGGGCTCCCTGCCGATGCTGAGGGTGTCGGGAGACCCTATAGACTGGGCCCGTCCACATCTCTCTGACGCAGGGCTTCACAGATGAGTGGAGTTCGGTGTCTGATCAACTGACTTTGAATCCCATGTCCCTAAAAAGCTTGCGACTTGGGCCATGGTGTCCCTCTCTTGGAGCCCTGTCTGCTCACCTCAAACTCCTCGGGTTCTGGGAACAAATAAATGAAGCACCACAGGCCGAGTGCGTGGGGACTCCCCGTGCCCTGGGGTCTCTCCTTCCTGATGAAGACAATCGTTATTTCTCCCCGGTGATTTCTAGAGGGGACCAGAATCCCATACACAACACCATCTCCTCAGGCAGGGCTGGGCGTGGGGCATGGGGTGAGCCTGAACCACACTTGTCAGAGGGCGGGTGTGGAATCGGAAACGACGCGGGTGGGAAGCTATTCCTACGCACAGGCTGGGCCCCACCCAAAACCTCTGCAGGGGGTGGGAGGGTGTCTGAGAAGGTGTGAAGGGACAGTCCCAAGAGCTTTGCTAGTGGAGAACCTCTTCTTGAAAGACCCTCATGCACAGGCCACCAGGAGGATGACAAAGCTGTTTCTTTCCCCACCTCTGATGAAAAAAGACGGATGCACAGTGCAGAGAAAACCCAGCCATTCCCTCGCTGACCACGCAGGGTCCACACTTAAACCTAACAGGCTCTGTCTCTCCCGAGGAAATTCTCCTGCTTTAACAGATCTGTAACACACCTTCTAAGTGCTCCCCGAGGCATCGGGGCAGGGCAGGTCATACTTGCTACTGGACAGCACCCACGTCCTTGGACACACTGCATCCGATTGGCGAAAAAAGTACCAGATGTCAAACTACGTATGATCAGTGCCGAAACTGGTTTTCTCTCGGCGTCTAGACTGGCTGCCCCCTGAAAAATGTCTTTCTTTTCTTGATCCTTACCAATGCCCAGTCACCCCCCCCCCTCTGCCAGGGTAGAGAACGGGAGCAAACTTTAACCTTGGAGTCAAAAAATAAGCAAGGTTTTCAACAGACAGTTGAGTAACTGGACTTGTTATTTAAATACCAAAATACACCAGATGAACTTATTCATCTGGCTTAATACATGTTGGCCTAACGCTAAGACAAATACATCAATTTAAGAAATGTCGATGGGGACAGGCATGGTTGGTGTGGCAACGACTTGGCCCGGAGACACAGGTGTGGCCGCATGGCACGGACAGGCCCTCAGAACCAGTACTCGGAGACAAAGATGTGCACGTTGACAACGTTTCTGTGGGACACCACACCCCCGACCACATAGTTCATCTCCAGCTTCAGGACGGCATGGAACGGGCCCACAATGGGCCGCACTTGGCGCACGACACCTAGGGAGAGAACAGAAGGCATCTCAGACCTCCTCGCATCCCACACGGAGCCAGACGTTTGAATCCCCTGTGTAGTAACGTCTACCTCTGGTGGTCGCCCCTGGGCTCTGTTTCCACCTCCAGAGGACAAATGACTGTGAGTTCATTCTGGCCATCTACCTGACAGAGGATTTGGAAGAGCCTAAAAGCGGGCCTGGTGTGGCGTAGACGCCCGGGAGACACCCGTCCGTCTCCTTCCTACCCACCGTGTCCGGTTCTGACCCAGCAGAAGGAGCAAAGCACATGTGATCCTGTCTTCTGTGACACGGAAGATCACAGTGGAGGGTGACACTTGAGCTCACTGCTCAGTGTTGGTGGGAACCGATGAGCAAGAAGCATCTGCCAACAGAGTCTCAGAGCATTGCAGCCTGAGCAGCGGGGCCTGGCCAGGGCCAGAAGGACAGGCGGGGACAGGCGATGGAGGGACCACACGAGGGCCATGACCGGCAGCCTGCAGTATGGGCTCTGCCAGGGCTCAGAGTACAGGGCTCAGACAAAGCCCAGCTTGGAAGACACCCTGAGATTTAGAGGGGAGCGGGATCGGAGGGGAAGAGCAGATTCTGTAACTCTCTCCAAACCGGCGCCTGGGCATCTCCCTGTCTCTGGGCCAGGCTTTGCAGGCACCTGCTTGCCTCTGCAGGACACCCAAAGGCTCAGAGCAAACTCTCCTGCCTTCTGGGAGGAGACAGATGGGACTACGGTGGGCATTAGCCTGACCGGACGGAGTCGGGGAAGGCTTCTTGGAGGAGGAAGCAACACAAGCAGTCTGCAGGTGGATGGATCCCCGGGACATGGCCAAGCAGGTGCCACCAACAGCTGTTGACATCTATGCATGAATGATGTCCAAAGTCCTTTCTCCATCCCACCTGCTCTGATAGGACCTGCCCCAAGTCACGTGCTGTGGAGGGGTGGGTCTCCCGCTGGACTGCACAATTTCCGTGGCTGATTTTTAGCTACAGAGGCGACGTCACTGAGGCAGGGGTGGGAAGTGTGGACCAGCGCCTCTCAGCCGACTGTGGTGGTGTGCTGCCCCAGCATGTGGGCAGAGAGCAAGCTGGGGAGTCGCAGCTCCGCAACCATGTGCTGTGAACTCCCCCGATTGTTTCTGCATCAGACTACTGACCGCCTCCCCCCGCCAGACCTGGGAACCAAGCCCAGGGCGGTGTGCAGGCCCCCAGGGCCGTGTCTCTGCCCATGTCAAAGGCTTGGGGTTGGGAGGCCTGCAGGCTGGCAAACGCCTTCTGCAGCGGCGCTGGTTCCCGGTCAGGAACGCCAAGTTCACGGTCAGAAGGGGAATCTGGGTGTGCCATTCCCCCTTTCACTCTCTGGGCTCATGTTTCAAAAGTGAAATGCCCAACAGCCAAGGTAGAATTCCAGGCTATTCTAAGTAAACAAGGGCTTTTGCTCTGATGGAGAGATATTCTGCAGGTTGTCAGCACCCTTCCTCTGCCCCTGCCCGGCGGTGACACCGTGGCTTTGTCCTGGGTGAACGCCGAAAACAGCTTCAGCTGTTAAAGACGCGGCTTGTCAGCGGCCCCTGACGGCCCGGCCACTCCCGCCGGCCCCTCCCGGGCATAGAATCTGGACGGGTCGGTGGGGGATCCCCGATAGCCCCCCTCCGTGTCACCCTCTCCTCTCCCCTGGCCTGAGGCCCACAGTGCTACCTGAGGCCACCAGTGGCCTGGGTTACCTCCTGACGTCTCCCACGCTGGGGACAGAGGTTACTGCTCTATTTCCAGTGCTCAGAGAAGTTTCTGTGTCTTCAAGGAAGAGGTGAGAGGCTGGGGGAGCCTGAGAATGATTTTGGGACAGAGGAACAGTGGAGTGCAGAGTACATTTCTCCAAGTAACGATCAGATACGTATTTATTTCTATTAATCATCATTCTGTTTATATAGCATATAATTAATATGTGATACAGATTATAATTTTATATATGTTATTATTATAATGCCAAATATATAACTAGATAATATGAAATATGTAAATATACTTATTTAGAATATATTAAAAATCTGGGGCGCCTGGGTGGCTCAGTGGGTTAAAGCCTCTGCCTTTGGCTCAGGTCACGATCTCAGGGTCCTGGGATCAAGCCCCGCATCGGGCTCTCTGCTCAGCGGGGAGCCTGCTTCCCTTCCTCTCTCTCTACCTGCCTCTCTGCCTAATGTGATCTCTGTCTGCCAAATAAATAAATAAAAATCTTTAAAATATATATATTAAAAATCTTTTATATAAATATATAAAAATATCTATTTTAAATTTATATAAAATTTTCTATATCCATATATTTTATATAAATTTATGAATATTATATAGAAATAGAAAATGTATACATTTGTACATTAAATAGAAATATTATAAATTATTATGCACACACACTTGAACAGCATGAACAGTTCAGACCCACAGACGTTCTGAGTGTTGCCAAGCACACACTAAGGACGTGTGTCAAGGAGATGTTGGGCTGTCCTCGCAGCTCAGCGTGGGGACAGGGAACGGCGGTACGACCCCAGAAGAGCTTGTTAACCTTCCTGCGTTTTAACGTGCTCTTCTGTGAAACAGCAATGAAAAAAAGCAACCTTCAAGATCACAAACAAAACAAGCAGGAGGACACCTTCCTCCTCCACCCCCAGAAATGACTACTGGACGGCCAAAAAGCATTTTGCGATTCCAACTTGAATGCGACCTGATGTTCAAAGTATGGCTGAATTCTTGCCTGACGGGAAACCAGAGCAAGTGTTGAGTATTTTTACTGGATTGATTTTAAAACTGGACTGAAAGGAAGGCCCCAAACGTGTAGAAAACATTTGTACGATATCCGTCGCGTTGGGCACTTTCCCAGGTTTTGTCTCTGCCGGCCTGGGCCGTGGCTCATTACTCGGCTGCAGCTCAGAGATGAGACAAAGGGGTGTGGGAGGAAGCCTGGGGCTGTGTTAGCGAAGGGGGCACTGGGAGGGGCCACCGGGAGGTGGGCCCGAATCTGGTGCAGGTCACGCTCAGAGCCGGGATTTCCTCAGGGTCTTGGCAATTAACAAGAAAAATGATTAAGGCAGAACAAATATGCGTGTTGCCAGTGGGAAATAAGAAATTGTGAGTGCATGTAGGAGGGCTCAGAAGCATGTCCCCTCCTTCCCACCCCCCAGGTCCCCCACCTCACCAAAAGGGGCTTCTCGGCCCCTTCCCTCTGACCCGAAGTCAGCACTAAATCCCCACCTCTAACCACAAACCCAGCCAACCCAGGGCTCCCTTTCCAGGCCACACCCACTCTGTGGACCTGACCATGACTTCTTCAGCTCAGCCACGTTTCCCCTGGAGCTCTGGTCCAGGTGAACATGTTCCCTCCATTCCCAGCATAGTCCGAGCTTGAGTTCTACCTCCTAGTCCTCCCTTTGACCAAATCCAGGTTTTCTCCTGATATCACTTCTTTCTTTACAGCTCTCCTACCCACTCCTATCCACTCACCATCCATCCACCCAATCATCCATCCACCCACCCACCCGTCCATCCACCCACCATCCACCATCCATCCATTTATCCATCCATCCATCCACCCACCCACCCACCCACCCATCCATCCATTCTGGCTTCCTCCCCACCACTGATTCTAGACCAGCATCCATTCAGAACCACCATCAACCTTCCTACTGCAGGGAAATAAGCAAGGGAAGAAGAGAGACTCGTGATGCCCATCTGTGACCCCATAGAGTTTGGAAAGCCTCCCCCAGGGGTCCAACTCCCCTCCCACCCCCGCCCATCAACTTGATTCTGTAGATGTGATATTAGTGTCTGCTATGGACCAGGCTCGGGGGACCAGCTAGACCACTTAGGTCTTTTTCCACGAAGGCTCCCCAGCCCTGGGGTCCATGATACCTCAACCCCGCGGCTATAACGTCACCTCTGCCCATGGCTGGGAAGCTCCAGTCAGCTCCCCTTCAAGGGAGATGGCATCTGCTACTCGGGCGTCCCACTGTCCCCAGCACGGGGCCTGGAGCCCGACGCAGAGGGAGCTCCATTGTGATGACTGAGTGAGATAAAGGTGGAGGAAGAAAGAAGGCAGGAGGGAAGGAGGAAAGAAGAGACGGCAGTCCTTGAAGCCCCACAGTCTGGGAAGGGAAACAAAACTCTGTCCTGAAGGAAAAAGGAACCACAGAAGGTTCTGGAAAGATGGTAGTTAATGACCAGTCTAGCAACAACATGCAGGCCAAAGGGAGGCATGCTTTTCCATCGTGCCTGGCGTGTCCACCTGACCTGTTGGGGTCTGTGCCTCCCCAGCATCCTGGAGCCCCAGAACAACAACAAAAAGACCACGGTGCCGGGTTCAACTGTGTTAATCTTCCAAATCCTCGTCCTTGGCATTTCTGCTTCGGGTCTCAGATGCTGCTGGTATTCCTCGGCGTGTCTGTGCCTCTTAAAGATATAATTAAGCCTTTTTTTTTCCCCTTTGAAAAATGTAGGCCCCTCGGGCACGTCACCTTCACGTCTTGTCTCTGCTTTGTAAACTGCAGCTGATGTGCTAGAAGCCGGGAACCCCACAGGAAGCACAAGGGTCCAGCGGGGACCCTGGTCATCCCAGGGGTCTGTGGTCAGCCTTCCTGGTCCTCAAGCCACACCCCTGCTCCCTCCCCCCAGCATCTGCTGCTCAGAGTGGCACCCGAGTGCCCGTCCGTCGTTTGAAAGGACGGAAAGCAGCTGTGGAGCTCCCTGCACGGGTCTTGTCTCTGACACAGATGCTGATCTAGGAGGAGACCCGGGATCATAGCCTCGGGTTCCGGGGCTCACCGCACACAGACCAACGGTGTGACCTTGGGCAAGTCACCACGCGTTCTCAAGGTCAGTCTTCAACCCAGAAGCCCTGTGATTCTGACCGACGAGGTGTAACGGCGTGAACGGGACTGTCGGAGAGGATTTTAACAAGCCAGATGACGCATCAAGGAACTTCGTGGTGCTCTCATGTCCGTGGAA